TTCTCGATATCTGTTGTAACAAGAATCCTCTCTTATCATGGGCGGCCGTCACTATTTCAAATACCTAATTATCAGGATTAGTAACATCACCTGGACTACTCATATGGCTGTTAAAAGGTTTTGTACCGCTATTGACCATTTTTGTTATTCCCAGGGCGCATCAGGTTGGCGCACATCTTGAGTTATCGCTAAAACTCTGTTCCAGTTAAGCATTTAGTTTAAGCGACACCTCACTGCCGAGATTCACCTGGATTCATTTTTTTCTCTTGTTTTAAACAAGACTTGTCAAGACTTGTCTAAATGGACTTCAAGTAGAACGTGAAGTTGACGTAAATTCGGGAACTGAGACATCCGGATGAGCCCCAAGATGGCCGAAAACGTTCATGGTATTACTGAGTATTTTATTTCTAGGAGTTCACACAGATCCACGTATCTGATAAGTTGCTGAGAAATGTCACATGTTCTCTGCTGGAAGGTCCATATCAAAATACTTTGAGATATCCAAATTACATGCATTTTGATGCTCCATAACAGCACTCATGTATACATTTTTAAATCTTGGGTGCAGTATTCGCTCAACATTCATTACGCCCCACTGACAATCTTTCCCAATGTTTAGCCATTTTTCTTGTGAATGTTGAATCTCTTGTACGCTTGAATGAATGCTGTTCGTTTGGAAGCATTCTTAGGCTTTAGTCCAAGGCTGTGTTTGACAAATAAGATCCCCAGCCTTTCGCCTTTGTGATCATTCATTTGTTTGCATGTCCAGACGGAATTCCTAGCTGAGATCTTTTTATCTATCCGACTTCAGGTCCCCGAGGTTGCTCAGCATACAGCTCATCTAATGGAGCTTTGCAAAGCCGGATACGAGGCCAAAACGCTCCTTGGATCTGTCTCCAACGTTTGTTTCTAACGGGCACGCAACCCGTTGTCGAAATTGTGCCAAAATGGAAGGAAAAGCAGCTTGTCTGTATTGTGTTCTGAAACCATTGCAAGATATGGGTTGTTTTTCCATTAAAAATGGTGGTCCATAGGCCTTCGGGATTTTCGGGCCTTGTGAGTTCATCAAAACTCCCCAAAAATCTTATGTACTATTGCATGATAGATACGCAGGTCGAATAAAAACAAGTCGGTCATTTGACACAGGCAGGGCATTTATGTGATCATCTGTCAACTCAAACGCCCGTGCACTCTAGACAGAGTAGAGCAGAATCGTCACAGTTAGCCCGTCGACTGTGAATAAATTTTCAAGCAATCCGTTAGACCGGGTCGGTGTCAGTTTGAAGGGGAAAGGCCACAGAGTTAATGCACAACAAAATCCGTACGATTGTTCTTGGAACGACCTGTGATTCATAAGGATAATGAATACTATTCAACTACATACCACCAGCCTCTCCTTTCAGGCTTCATTAGATAGCCGTAAATGTGGTGTGACAGTTGATTTCACGTTCTACAAATATATTCATAGTGACTGACTTACAAAAGTATTCCGTACTGGACAGTCCTTCCACGGTTGCCTAGACATGTCAATCCACAAACTACAACATGTGGAATACAGTATCCAATAAGTCCTACAGTGCAGTGGACTCAATGCTTTTTGTATCCGGTTAACATCCTCCCTAGTGGAAACAGACCACCACAAAACACTAGCACGAAATTCGTCGTCTTTCGCTAGTCGGTAAGGAAGGAAATAATTAACGATAAACAACCAGAGAAGTATGGACTTCCTGTGCCGGTAAATTTTAGCGTTTCCGATATTTCACAATAACTTGCTCGTTGCGCGAACACTGGCAAATAATTATTAAGGAGGCGAATGAACTGGAAAGAGCGTTCACGGCTGAGCTCACTTAATTTCAATTTAGGCGTATACCGTATTTTTGTCTGGGGCAACATCCACACTTTGGCGTTTGGTGCTTCGTTTAGAGAAGGGACTCCATAATCTTGCTATGGACGGAGACAATATCGTTGTGCGCAGCGATTTGGAACCATAACACGCAGTTCAGTTGTGGACCCTATTGAAGCGTATCCTGAGGCTGGCCTGCAGACAAATGAAGCCAAGGTACAGCTCACGCGGATTTGGGTGACAGTGATAGGGAATACAATGGGTCACAGAGAGGCTAGCCCACTACCATAAATACACTCGATGATCAAGGAATGTGCTATTGCCCATTTAAAGAATTCATTGCGGTATTTTCCAGGACAGGCAGCATATTACAGCTGGATTTTTGAGGATTTCAACAGGATTGCTGCTCCACTGCACGATTGTTTGGGCAATATCGGGAGTCCGACCGGACAAGTGAGGCACACTAGCATTCCAAACGTGTCAAAGCGTTGGTGCAAGATCAACAACTGACCCTTGATATGTCGAGAGCCAGAGATGTACAATGTTACAACGGACGCTGTGATCGCCGTATCGACGTAATCCACTTCGGCAAAGTGTCTGCTTACCCGGGATGAGAAGTGGAGTAATGGATTATGTTGTGTCCTGTGAGCAGTGCTAACTGATAGGGACGTATATGACAGGGGCAACCCATCCCATGCAACCCACTCCTGTCTCAGAAATCAGCGTGTTATGTTACGTTGATTTCATAGGTCGATTTGTGGTGAGGTGATAATGACGAACACCTGTTTTGTTTGTCAAATTCTGATCGCCAGAGGAACGTGTCTACTATCCCAGACGGTCGGGGACCGAAAGCGGAAAATGCAACTCAGCTGTGGATGTTAAATGACACTGCTGAAGAGCTACCGAATGGACCAACACTGGAGCCGAGCTAACGGGGGTAAATGGAATTCGATGGCATGCGAGCGATTCTAAAATAGGAACGTGCGCAAATGTGGTAACCACTGATATGCGCATGATTGTATGGTGTAGTTTTCGTAAACTGAAAGTAGGGGCTCATTACGAAATTTGTGGAATTCTTTTGAAGCATTCGTTGACAAGTGCGTGATAGTGAAAATCCAGTGACAGAGGGCTGTTATTCAACTTTTTTTACACAAGGTGCCTGTAGGAGGTTTGCTTTTCTGTCCAGCAGTCTGTAACTGTTCAGCTGGTGTTTTCTGATAAACAACTCCACGGCAAAGGATTTTCATCCGTTCAGTGATACATAGCTTACAGACTGGCTATTTCAAATATTCCGTATACATATCGCTGAAGAACGTTGAACAAATTCTAAAGCAGTGGGTCAAAAGTTCATCTCCCAGATGAATTTAATGTCAAACTTAAATCTAACGAAATCATACTAGATGTACTGCTGTTAGGGAGCTGTGCGCTTAAGTAATGCGGGTTGATACGTTAATTCTGGACGCAACACTTTGCTCAAGGAGATTACCTTTCGACACCTCGGGACGTAGATCGCCGTTCATCCCTGTCGGTCTATCTAACGCATTTACTAGTTGAAAACAAATTGGACAGATTTTGGAAACTACGCATGTTTGCTCATGAATTTGATTTCGACGGGAGTCACCGAAGAATTCAGCTGAACAGCTTGTTTGTGATGGTCCGCTTTGACTGAGTATGGTGAACGAAGTCGCCCCATGTTTCAGTCCGTACGACATCTGGGATACCACATTGCGTGGTTGTTTTTGCTTCCCATAAATTTGCCAATAAATCTTGGACGGTTCATCACAGGTTCGGCCTTTCATGGCTGGTCGGGCTCGTTAGGTAGGCGAACCCACTAAAATCCTGTCAAGTCTATGTTCAATAAACTCCGTTGAAGCATGCCATCTATGTCTCCTGGAAAATGGAATTCCTGTGCACAGGAGACTAACTTTCGACATATTGCTACTCTAGTTAGCTATTTTACTCAGGAATATACCCCCAAATACTTCACAAGTAATGGACCTTGTCGAAATACCGTCCCTTCGTCGGTAGATTTTGTCGTCCAATCAATATGGTGTGATGGAGTGCAGATGTTTTGATTGCGGTCGTATCCCTCCTCAAAAGAACACCGATTCCCGGTTTTGTAAGGTGCTCCATGTTGATAATTCCCAAATGAAATGAAATTGTTATACAGTGTTTCCCTGTTTTCCAGCGTAGATCGTCATCACTGAGAGGCTGGAATCTCCACTGAATATGGTCAAATCACCTCATGTCACTATCAAACGATACGTGGGTTAGAACAAAGATAACCGCTCTGGATTGCAAACGTTACTTCTGGGAGGTGGCGACTCGCGGGACCAGTCAAAACTTGACCACGTGATGTTGTTTTCCGTCAGTGAACGATAAATGTCCCGTCTCTGTGGGAGCCAAACACACTACTGACCAGCCGCTCAAGCCCAAACGGCGAAGAACTGAAACATATATCCGGGGGTCATGGGTTCGGTAAGAAACTACACTTGATTTCTTGAGATGTACACTGCTGATGATTCCCGGCAAGAATGAAACGACTTCCCATTGCTTCTCAGCTCTTGGGCACAAGCTGCTTTCACTCCGAAGAAGAAATCTTTAACAAGCGTTCGCAGTTCTGCTCTTGCTGTCAACAAACAGGAGACTGCATCTATCCCTAGTTTAGTTGTGGAATTCGTCAACAGCTTAAGCACCACGTATGAGGGTCTGATTCGGATTAGGTTCCAACGCTGAATACCGAAACAGCACATCCTCGCTTTTCTGATATACAAATGCCAAGGTCGAAATAAATACGATGTGGATCCTACAGGGGAATCCACAATTACGTTATACTAATAGATAGCGCCTATATCCAAATATTTTCAGACCACGTTTAGTCTAGTCAAACTAGGGGTTCGGAGGATTATTCGTCAGGTTTACCCCCCACTCATATGCTGGGCTCCTTGGTGGCACACACTTGAGAAATATTCGGCCACATTTGTGAGGGATTTTCTTGTATCTGCACGTTCATTACTGTTCCATGAATATTGTAAATACTTGTTTGCTGTGCTACGTATTGAAATACCGAATTAATAACTATAACCTACTCCTAAATTTTGAGTAGATTAACAACGTTATCCATTTGAATATGCAGTCTAGGATGTCATACACTCACCCGAGGTTTTTTCAATACTTTCAGATCCACGCCGGTGATCGCAGCGAGGTAAATTATTGCAGTGCCATGGTTAGAGCTATTTTTCTTTATTGTCGAAGGAGACGGACACGTACATTCACGAGCTCCTCGAAGTCTTTTCCTAACTATCATTGTTGCACACACGAAAACTTGTTCTCTAATTGTCTGACTGTGAATTCACTCACACCAGTTTATATCAGGTTTGTTTTTGAGGTAGCACAAATGCGAAGTTTGGTTGGGACAATTCCTGTCACAAAATCAAAAGGTGTACATAGTCACGAAGGTTCGTATTTCACTTCATCACCGAATTATATCACGACACTTATCGTGTATGACAGTAGTGAGTCACATCATACATAAAAATAGATGAAGTGTGAAATATGGAGTTGGTTATCGTTTGTTAAAGTCCTTTGGTAAAAGGCCGAAAGCGGGAGCGTGTTTTCCCCGCAAGAATAGCTGAAACACTTGTTCCTTACTTGTCCGTGGACTTGTGAAATTTTGCTAGCTGCTTGTTTCTTGCGGGCACGCGAGTCTCTGCGTGGATTGCGTCGAGCTTAGAGTCTTGTGTTATGTTTCGTGTGCCGATTTGCCGGGTTCCCTCCTTATGTACATCTGGTGCACAGATAAATCACATTGATTCTAAGTTCACGGACACTGTAGTCGGCCAAAGGTTCTGTTCATTGGATCGAGGTTGACGAGTGATTGCTAGGCAGACAAATCAAAATTCGGATAGCAGATGCAGGTGTAGAATTGTTTGGAGTAATTGAACGAAGGCTAGCCGCCTCGAATATTCTCCCCCAGTTGAAAGGACAAAAGGTCACTCGAGCGCTGGGTGTCACGTTCTGACAAAAAGTTGATATCAACATCCGACGAAACGATCTGGCCAGTGTACATGTCTGCCGGAACGAATGGTGACACGAGTGCATGCAGGAATTTCGCTTGTGGGTTTCGGAGTTAGGGTGCAGCCTTATCGATGGGCAATTTTTGTTCTCGACTAACAGGTACGGGTTGTAGGGGTGATTTAACGAAATCAGAAGATATGAGAAAATGTAGAAGTGTCTGGAGGAAAAAAAATTGGTTCCCTTCGTTTTGGAGGTGCGTTGAAGCGTAGGCGGTACATGTGCGTTCTTAATATAGTAACAAGAGTAGGTGAATCATGGATAGTTTGACCATGCCATCACAAAATCTTTGACCCGATATTCGTAATGTTGTGCCGTATACCGGTGCTGCTGGCGACCAGTTCGAAGGTAAAATTTGAGTAGTGCGAAATTGTAACGGTATCACTAGTGTGACGCTGATATTACTGATATGGAAGTACGCGAGCATTTTTGTTACTCGCGAAAGTTAACCTTTGCGTCTCTTCAGCAGAAGATGGATGTCCAGTTTTTCTAAATCAGATGTAAATGAGAGTTTTGCATCTCTGTCCAATGGTCTGTAAGCGGTCAGTTTGCATTTTCTAATAAATATATCCGCAGCAAAGGTATTCTTCCCTTCATCTGGTTCCACGACTAGGATGAGGATGAAGATATCGTGGCCACAATCCATCGAGAAGGGGATGTTCGGACCTTCCTGGAGGATTTTGGGGAGGATGCGGAAGCTGCCGGACTGGAGACCGACCGGGGTATTTTGGCGGCGCTAAAGGCCCCACTTTGAGACCAGGAGAAGCCGGCCGTGGATGCGGCCAGAAGAAGCCCTCGGAAAATAGATTGAGCCGCCGCTACGTTCCAGGCACAGAAGTGTGATGCTTCATCAGTGTAGGATGTGCAGACCAGAGTGAACCAACTCGCCTAACAGCTTGCAGGCATGAGGACAAAATGTCGGAGCTACGCTTGAAAAAGCCGGTGTTACACGTGTGGCAGGCCTCACCACTGGGAGAATCAGTGTCCCCGTACTTGTACAAAATGAAAATTTAGAGTACTCCACTTTTCCGGGGTCAGTCGCGTCCTCACGGACGATGAGGATCCGTTCGGGTTCTGCCCGTGGATTGAACACAAAATACCTCTTGCATCAGAACGTTTCGACCTTATGAACCCCGTCCGTTGCCGCTCCTTCTATGGGAGAAGGTCAATGAACAGATTCATAAAATGATGAAGAATGGAACAACAGAAGAAGCCAATAGTGCGTACAATTCCATAGTTGTGCTTGTAAGAAAGGCGTGCGGAAAAAACAGGTTTCGCGTGGATTTCTGGGACTTGAATGAACTGACCGTAAATCGGGTTGTAGCATTACCTACGGTTGCGGAGGTTTTCGATTCACTCCAGCATTCCGGATAATTCACTGTGTCTGCCTTACCTTGTGGATACTGGTAACTACGCATCAAGGCCGAGTAACGAAAGAAAACAGCGTTTACGGATGGGGACACCCAATATCACTTTAGACGAATGCCCTTTGGTTTGTCTGGTGCCCCATTCGCATTCCGGCACTTGGTGCATCGTTTAACGGGGAGAGAATGTTGTCGTATATGGAATGTTATGTGCAGCAATTCGAAACCGGAGCACGAAGTTCACTTGAAGGCTATACTGAAGCGGATTCCGGTGGCTGTTCCTCGGATAAATGAAACCGAGACACAGCTCGGTCGGAGTTCGGCGACACTGCTTGGATAAAATGTGGGTCACGAAGAAGTGAGCCCACTGCCCGAAAAACTGGCAAAGACCATGGTTTATGCTGTTCCCAATTCAAATCGGTCTCTACGGCAGTTCCTTAGACAAGCAGCACACTGCAGCTGCTGTTAAGGATTTGAACACGATCGCTGCGCCACTGTACGACTTGTTCGGGCAAAATCGTAAATGGACCGGAGAAGCACGTGAGGCATTTGAGCGTGCCACAGCCCGGATAGAAGGGGATGTTCGGACCTTCCTGGAGGATTTTGGGGAGGATGCGGAAGCTGCCGGACTGGAGACCGACCGGGGTATTTTGGCGGCGCTAAAGGCCCCACTTTGAGACCAGGAGAAGCCGGCCGTGGATGCGGCCAGAAGAAGCCCTCGGAAAATAGATTGAGCCGCCGCTACGTTCCAGGCATAGAAGTGTGATGCTTCATCAGTGTAGGATGTGCAGACCAGAGTGAACCAACTCGCCTAACAGCTTGCAGGCATGAGGACAAAATGTCGGAGCTACGCTTGAAAAAGCCGGTGTTACACGTGTGGCAGGCCTCGCCACTGGGAGAATCAGTGTCCCCGTACTTGTACAAAATGAAAATTTAGAGTACTCCACTTTTCCGGGGTCAGTCGCGTCCTCACGGACGATGAGGATCCGTTCGGGTTCTGCCCGTGGATTGAACACAAAATACCTCTTGCATCAGAACGTTTCGACCTTATGAACCCCGTCCGTTGCCGCTCCTTCTATGGGAGAAGGTCAATGAACAGATTCATAAAATGATGAAGAATGGAACAATAGAAGAAGCCAATAGTGCGTACAATTCCATAGTTGTGCTTGTAAGAAAGGCGTGCGGAAAAAACAGGTTTCGCGTGGATTTCTGGGACTTGAATGAACTGACCGTAAATCGGGTTGTAGCATTACCTACGGTTGCGGAGGTTTTCGATTCACTCCAGCATTCCGGATAATTCACTGTGTCTGCCTTACCTTGTGGATACTGGTAACTACGCATCAAGGCCGAGTAACGAAAGAAAACAGCGTTTACGGATGGGGACACCCAATATCACTTTAGACGAATGCCCTTTGGTTTGTCTGGTGCCCCATTCGCATTCCGGCACTTGGTGCATCGTTTAACGGGGAGAGAATGTTGTCGTATATGGAATCGGTATCGTTATGTGCAGCAATTCGAAACCGGAGCACTAAGTTCACTTGAAGGCTATATTGAAGCGGATTCCGGTGGCTGTTCCTCGGATAAATGAAACCGAGACACAGCTCGGTCGGAGTTCGGCGACACTGCTTGGATAAAATGTGGGTCACGAAGAAGTGAGCCCACTGCCCGAAAAACTGGCAAAGACCATGGTTTATGCTGTTCCCAATTCAAATCGGTCTCTACGGCAGTTCCTTAGACAAGCAGCACACTGCAGCTGCTGTTAAGGATTTGAACACGATCGCTGCGCCACTGTACGACTTGTTCGGGCAAAATCGTAAATGGACCGGAGAAGCACGTGAGGCATTTGAGCGTGCCACAGCCCGGATGTTAGATCAGGAACTGACCCTAAAAGTGCCCTGGCTCGTGGAGATGTTCACTGTTGCAACAGACGCTAGAGATCGTGGTGTCAGCTCACTCCTACAAGAGATGAATGGAGTCAACGAATATGCCGGTCGTGCTCATACCAACGCTGAACGTAAGTATTCAACAACTGAGGGAGAATTTTTAGCGATCGTCTGGACTCTTAATAAATAGAGGCCATATCTGCTAAGCAGAGATTTCATGTCAAAACCGATCACACACTCGTGGAGAGGATCAAAGCCACCGGAGATCCTCGCTGAAAGGTCGCGCCCTGGGGACTCCTTTTGCAGGAGTACGGCTTCACACTCCAGCAAGTTCCATAGAAAGAGAACCACTTCGCTTATTGGCTGTCGAGCCCAGAAACTAAAGATGAGGTCCCCAGGAACATGATTGGAGCCAATAGCTTTGTTGTCGAACTGGATCCCGGAAGGTTGGTGCAATTTTAACGGAAGGATCCTGTGTTAAGAAAGTTTGCAGCCGTGTTGTTGGATGAAAAGAGCATCGAGAACGGAGAGGGAGACAGTGAATCAGAAACGTTCCAGAGTCACCTTGATCGGCTGAGGCTGAATGAAAATGGCATAATTTACTGGAACGCCTCTGATTCTGATGTTGTGCTGCCCGTGATAACACGCGCCTTGAGGCGGAATCTTATCGTGGCATGAAATGGCATATACAGGGTTTACCAAGACTTACGACTTACTTCTGCAGAGGATATACCGGCCCGGGATGAGAAGTGAGATGATGGATTGTGTGATGTCCTGTAAGCGTTGCCAACTAATCAAGGGGGACACGACAGGGGCAACACATTCCATGGAACCTATTACTGTCTCAAAAATCGGAGAGTTGTGGTAAGTTGACGTCATGGACCCCTTTCCGTTGATAACCAGTGAGAACCAATACATCTTGATAATGACAGAACACATGACGCGATGGATTGAGGCGGCGACCGTGCCTACTCAGCAGACGACGA